TCTAGTAACAAAACCCAATGTTTTAAGGGCAGTAGCCGACACTTTGTTAATATGTTCGGTAAAAGTCAAAGATTCATCAAACCATATCCCAAGATCCTTCACAGTAGAAATGCGTGCTAGATGATCCATCCCTATCCTGTAATCAAAGTATACAACGTTCCTTTTCTGGCTGTATATCATCACCTGACACTTGGATGTATTTAGGATCATGCTGTTGTCAGTACACCATAAAGAAAGTGTTAGTTCTAGATTCAATTATTATGCAGCGCTAGACCAAAAACTAGAATCATTTGGGTTTAGCCGTCTTAAGAGACGTCCGGCTAAATCCAAATGTTTCTAGTTATAGGTCTAATGTTGGTTCTAGTGACAGTGCAAGTGTAAAACTAGAACTAACACTATACCTAGAGCTAGAATCATTTGGGTTAGCCGTTTTTAGAGACGTGCGGCTAAACCCAAATGATTCTGGTTCTGGGTATAGTGTTAGTTCTACATAGTAACAGTGTTAGTGTAAAACTAGAACTAACAAAAGACCTAGAACTAGAAAGTTTCGGGTTTAGCCGTTTGTCTGAAGACGTAATTGTAATGCAGCGCTAGACCAAGAACTAGAATCATTCGGGTTTAGCCGTCTTAAGAGACGTCCAGCTAAATCCGAATGTTTCTAGTTCTGGGTCTAGTGTTAGTTCTAGTTTTAATTGTTATGCAGCGCTAGACCAACAACTAGAATCACTTGGGTTTAGCCGTCTTAAAAGACATCCAGCTAAATCCAAATGATTCTACTTCTAGGTATAGCGCTAGTTCTACATAGTAATAATGTTAGTGTAAAACTAGACTTAGAACTAGAAAACTTCGGGTTTAGCCGTGCGTCTTCAGACAAAGATCCAAACAGTCAAATGCCTGTGAGAGATTAGTGTAAACTACATCATCTTGTCCACGACGGTCCAGTGCCTCAGATACATATTGAGCAAAACTTAGTAGTTTAGTGGTAGCAGATTTACTTATGTGGAAGCCATGCTGATATTCCGACATTCGTGAATTAGTGTAGAATTCAATTTTGGATGCTACAATTTGTTCAAATAGCTTTGCAAAGTTATTGATGATAGCTATTGGCCGATAATTTGCTACAAAGCACTTACCTTCCTTCTTGTAAACCGGGCAAATCCTGCTTAACTTCCAGATCTTTAACTAAAGTTCTTGACTAAAAATGCAGGAATTTTTTGAAACATTGAACCATTTCGTCACAACTGACTTCGGAGATACCATAGGTGACAGAATTTGTATCATAAACAGCGTGATCGTTACCACGCGAAGTTCAATTGATGCAGGACAGTACATAGACTCAAAGTGATCGGCAAATAAGTTAACTACTGTTGGCTAATTGGACACATTTTCACAATATCAATCTTATAGTATTGTTTTTGCTCATGCTAACAAAACTCCAAAAGTTCTTTGTTTCTTTTGTATATATGACATAATCCCGACGAAGTCGACTAAAACTTGTGCGATGATATCTGCAATCAGTTTTTCTATACAATTTATGATGGTGTTTTTTTAATCTAAGTATTCCTATTAGGTCAGTTGAATACCATACAGAATATTTCGACCACGTATGCTTGCCTTCAGATTTAGGTGAACTCTAGTGTTTCGTCTCTACATCTTACACAAAGATGCATTTGTCTAATTTTGAAAAAGGTAATCTTGTTGAGATTAGGAATTACAGAGCTAAATCATTACTGTAGTGAGTTTTAACAAACTTTGAATATACATGCTCTGTCGTGGCATGTCAAAATTGTTTGAAGCACAGCTTTGTCTATGGTCCTTCCTCTGTCACAAATTTATCATGTTTCATACAATTTGTTGGGGAAGAGTTTGATATGAAATCAATTAGATGCTAATTAATTATCTAATTTACTAATTACTTAACTAATTAGTTAAATAACTAGTTAATAGACAACTGATGGAGTTTCTGAAGGCTGAGCGCATTGTTCTAGTGAATCAGTGGTGTCAGGGAAGTACATTGTTATGAAATTGCTCTGAACAATATAGTGGATGATATTGTTACTGCAACTGACTCCAATAGAATCGTAGCACGGGAGACGCGATTATGGATTTTGTACAACAGGCAATAGACTGTTTTGAGAGAGGCGAATATATCACAACTACGGTCTGTAGCCTCAGCAAGGCCATTGATTCTGTGAACCATAATTTATTAATAAAGAAGCTGAGTAGATATAACTTTGATAACAGTAGAATTAAGACGATTTAATCATACCTTGGTGGCAGAAGACAAATAGTCTGTTATAATGGTAGCTACTCTACTTCAGAGTGCATTTCTATTGGAATTCCACAAGGGTCAGTGTTGGGGCCCCTGCTTTTCCTCATTTACATAAATGACTTACCTGCTTCAAAATCTAAGTCTTCAATCATATTCTAGGCTGGCGACACTACTTTAATCAGCAGGCATAAAATCCTCATTGATGCTGTTACAACAAAACAGCTGAAGCTGTCTTTACACTGAGAGGCGTTCTGCCAGATCTGATGGGTGAGCAATTCATAGATTTTTTGGGTGTTAGCTTGAACTCTACATTGAAATGAGAACAGCATGTAAGTATACTTTGAGGAAGGCTGAGCAACAACATTTTTGTGTTGCGTATTTAAGGTGGCAATGTAGCTGGGGAAATTGCTCGGGTTGGTCTAATTTTTTATAGATCAAAAAATATTAACAAGGGAAATGCTATTTATATTAGAGTGTCTGTTGTACTTGCACAACAATGTAGATAAATATACTGCCCACAGAGATATAACAATCATAAGCTAAAACCTAAATTTTGCAGACTCTCTAAGTCACAGAAAGGTGTAGATTTTACAACGCTCAAGTTTTATAATAAATTACCTTTAACGGTTACACTTTTACCTCTGAGCAAGTTTGCAACATTGGCAAAGCAATTTCTGCTGTTGAGAGGTTTCTATTCTTATTCGGAATTTCTTGAATATGAATTTTTTGAAATTGATTTTATGGCATTGTACAGCTCGTTAACTTCATCAACTGTTTATCTTCTTAAAAGATTTGTCAACTGCTAGGCGATTAACCTTTAATTTTCAAACCCAACTACTGTGGTCTTGGTCCCGTCTTTATGGAAGGAAATTAAAGAGCTGCTACTAGCTTCCAAAGAATTATGGAGGACTGTAATGAAGTGACAAATATTTTTGTATCAAACTTTTAATTTCCTAAAATCTAATACCATTAACTACTCAAACGTTTTTTTAGCCAAGATCATTCAAACTATTTTTATCTGCTGATAAGAACTATTAGATAACATTTGTATTTGCTTATTATTTAAAAGCACTAACTCCATCTAAACACCTTAATCCAGTTTTCTGGTGATCTAATTTGCAATGAAATAATTTCATAAAATTTTTTTCATTTATGGTTTGTGACATAACCACAAGCCGCATACAATGTTGGTCAAAATTTAAAAAAAATTAATGTATTAAATCATTATTAAAACGTTTCAAGTAATTAAATGTAATTGAAAGTTGTTAAGTTAGCGCATATGCGGCTTTGATGAGAATCTAATCATAAATAACGGATAATATAATTGCAATTCCAGCGAAAATAGACGACTACAACGTACTATGTATTAAATAGAACTCATCAATAACTCTATTGATAATAATAATCAAAATATTGCATCAGTCCAGGCACGAAAAACTGTCCAAGAGTACGATGAGTGTTACGATAAGCGAAAACCGAGGCAATTGAGGGGATAAGTTAAGTAAATATTAATTACATTTATACAGAGACATAGATGCCTAAAGTAAAAGGCGGAGGGGAAAAGATTAGATAGATTACGTAATGTTTGGTCACAGTTTTTTCGAGTGGGTTGAAAACATGTTACCCTAAAATAAAAGACAAATAAATAATGGATCTTTCTCGTTTCTGATTGTTACAAAATAAAAAACCGGTGTTAACATTTTTATTTAATTAGGAGTATTTTTTTTTGTCTTCGCAGAAATCGCAAGCACTTTTTTTTAGGTATTTAGTGTTTTTAAAACGAACTATAATAGCTGTCGCAATCAAAATTTTTTTGCACCAAGTGCACAAAACGTTAGAAAAACTGTATTTTCATGCATATTAATACGCTTTTAACGGTTTACTACGACTCAAGCGAAATTTTCCGAATTATTTCAACCTGAGTGGGTACTCTAAATTAATATAACAAATTGAATGTTTGTTTTAAAGATATCTACTTCATAAAAGGTGTTTTCAGCAAATTTTAAATCATTTTTTTTTTAAATTTAAGTAAAGTATTTCTGTTATACAGAGAAACGGTTTATATTCAATTAACAACGTTTTGACGTAAATTATAATTTAATTTTCTTTTAAAAACTTGTTTACTGAGATTGTTATTAAAGAATAAATAGCAATTAGCACTCTAATAGATTAATTTAATGATTCAAAATTGGGTTTTTATTATTTTTAGTGAAGTAATTAGTTTTTATTTTTTTGCTAATTTTTTTAATTAATATTGAGTTATTATTAATTAGTGCAATTTATTAATTATAAATAATTTAAAGCATTTCCTTCTTTACCGACAATAACCAACTCAACTTACTTTGTGGTAAAAATCCCTAGATAAATAACCAAACTGTCAGTTGTAGTTTCAAAACAAACTTTTGTATTTCGTGTTTTAGAGCAAATTTTTGTTTAATCTCAACGTAAATTGGAATAATTATGAACATATAAGGTAAACAAAAGATTCTTTATTATTTAATACAATAATTTAAAAAAAATGATTTAATTTTGGAAAACTAACCTAATCTAAAATTAAAGATTTTTTTCACCTTATAACATTTATTATTTATATTTATTTTAAAATCCTCATTTTGTATTAATAATTTATTTATTTTTCTTAAATAAAATAAATATTTTATTAAAAAGAAAAAAATAACACCAACATAAAAACTAAAATAATATAAATTCCCTATATTAAAATATCACTAAACTGTCATTTACAATTTCAACACACACGCTATCTGTCACTTTGTGCCAATTTAAACGTTTTTTTGGATGAAACTGAACCATTTATTAAGTGAATCGGTTATTAATTCGATCAAAAAGTTCCAATAAATCGCTTTGTGCGTTACCGGGTCAAAATTTTCGCAATCCTTGCGGGAATTAGTGCGCGACCGCACCCACTTGGTTCAATTAAACGAAATCCGTCTACGGAAGAAGCCAACATAGGCCTCTCAGATACCGCGTTGATGGACATGGTTGTGTCAAATTTACAACAACAACGTGCTGTGACGGAGCAGTTGCGCCGCGAGGCCGGTATAAAAAGAATTCCGGTGTCGCAAGCTGTCGAAGAGATCATCAAATACATCTCGGAACATGAACAGGAAGATTGTCTTTTGGTTGGGTTTTCCAATCAGCGTGTGAACCCGTTCCGCGAGAAGAGTCCGTGTACGATTATTTAAAAGGATGTATTTATTAATTTCGTTATTATTTAAAAGAAAAATGGATAAAAGTATCTTAATTTTTAATATTTACAATGCGCCTAAATGTAATAAGAATAACCTCTTTTAAATCGGTGTTTATAGAGGATAATGTATCTAAAAATGTGTTTGATTTAATCTTTTTTTATTTTGTAAGGTTTTTATCAATATAAAAATGTAATGTAGGTTCACTATATCCGAGTAAAATAAAAAATAAATAAACAATAAAAGGATGTACTTGTAAAAATATGTTTGACTCTATCCTTTCTTGTTATTTTTGGAAAGATGAATCATCAGGATTTTTTTGGTTAAAACAAAACGACTTTCTACGTATTTTTTATTAAATACAATCCTTACCCATAACTTTCATTCCTTTTTGTTGTATACAATGGTAGTAATTTTACATTGCTAGTCTTTTTATTATGAGTAATATGGTGTAAAATGGGATTTACAGGCAAATAAATATCCTACAAAAAACGTTTTTTTTGGCAATAATATAAACATCCAAAAAGGACTTTTCTATGTATTTTAAACAGATTTTCTTATATTGTTAAGGTAGATAATTCACTTTAACAATTTATTTATTAAAAAGAACTAAATTTTTGATTCTTATATTTAGAGTTTTATCATGTAAATTGTACAAACTTTTTTTGTGTTTTAAAGTTTATCTACCTAATCAATATGAACAATATCTGGTTAAGATCTAAACATATTATCACAGCTAAAGGGGTAAAAATCTACAAATTTAATAATGGAATTTAAAATACATGGTTTTATACAGTGAATTTCATTTAAGATGCAATATATAAAAATATATTTCCATAGAAAACGGGCGTACCTACTTAGTTTGTCCCACATAAAATGCAACATGTCAATATAATTTGACATTACAGTGAAATATGAGTGAAATCTCGATATAACGGATTAATACGGGGAAGGCAGTGTCCGTTATATCAATAAAAATCAATAAAAAGCTCAATAAAAATGTGGAATAACCTAGTACTGAATTAAAAATAGAACTAGACTAGCACTAAAACTAACACTAGAACCAGAAATGTTCCGTTTAGCCGTATAAAATATCACTATATTGCAGATTTTTATTAAACTAGAACTAATAACTAGAAACATTCAGGTTTAAGAAAAATAATTAAAATTCATGTTCACTACTTGGTTGGTCAACAGTAATTTTATAAATCTGAATCTGTTGTGGATTTAAGTCTGAAGCTAACTTCAGCCACATGTCTTAAGAGACGTCTGGCTAAAACCAAATGTTTCTAGTTCTAGGTCTAATGTTAGTTCTAGTGACAGTGCAAGTGAAAAACTAGAACTAACACTATACCTAGAACTAGCCTGATTTGGGTTTAGCCGTCTTTAAAGACGTGCGGCTAAACCCAAATGATTCTAGTTCTAGGTATAGTCTTAGTTCTACATAGTAATGGTGTTAGTGTAAAACTAGAACTAACACTAGACCTAGAACTAGAAACATTTGGGTTTAGCCGTCTTTAGAGACGTGCGGCTAAACCCAAATGATTCTAGTTGTAGGTATAGTGTTAGTTCTACATAGTAATAGTGTTAGTGTAAAACTAGAATTAACACTATACCTAGAACTAGAATCATTTGGGTTTAGCCGTCTTTAGAGACGTGAGGCTAAACCCAAATGATTCTAGTTCTAGGTATAATGTTAGATCTACATATTAATAGTGTAACACTAGAACTAACACTATATATAGAACTAGAATTATTTGGGTTTAGCCGTCTTTAGAGACGTGCGGTTAAACCCAAATGATTCTAGTTCTAGGTATAGTGTTAGTTCTACATAGCAACAATGTTAGTGTAAAACCAGAACTAACGCTAGACCTAGAACTAGAAACATTCGGGTTTAGCCGCATGTCTCAAAAGACGGCTAAACCCAAATGTTTCTAGTTCTAGGTCTAATGTTAGTTATAGTGACAGAGCCGTCTTTAGAGACGTGCGGCTAAACCCAAATCATTCTAGTTCTAGGTATAGTGTTGGTTCTACATAGTAACAGTGCTAGTGTAAAACTAGAACTAACACTAGACCTAGATCCATAAACATTCGGGTTTAGCCATGCGTCTCTTAAGACGGCAAAACCTGAATGTTTCTAGTTTTAGGTCTAATGTTAGTTTTAGTGACAGTGGTAGGTAACGCTACGTAGCATAAAATATCACTATATTGCATATTTTTATTGAACTAAAACTAGAACTAGAAACATTCGGGTTTAAGAAAAATAATAATTAAAATTCATGTTCATTACTTGGTTGGTCAACTGTAATTTTATAAATCTGAACCATAAACTTTTTAGGTCTGGTGTTAGTTCTAGTTTTAATTGTTATGCAGCGCTAGACCAAGAACTAGAATCATTCGTGTTTAGCCGTCTTAAGAGACGTGCGGCTAAACCCAAATGTTTCTAGTCTAGGTCTAATGTTAGTTCTAGTGACAGTGCAAGTGTAAAACTAGAACTAAAGGTGAGTTTAGACATGCATGGATTTAGTGGCGCCAGTTGTATTTGCACGCTAGTAAAGTCAGTTTACACTACATGTGCAAAAACAAAAATAAGTGACACGCCAGTTTCATTTTTAAAGTGTACTACAACTATACAGTATGTCTCCGGATCGAGTTACAAAGAGGAAAAAAATTTTTATTACTGAATTTTCAAACTTATCTCAGCATAAATAATGCGTCGAATATGTTCAAACTACTAAATCGCACAAATTTTATGCTCTAACTATAGTTAACTAATTATTCCCATTTTTATGTAAAAATTTGACCTTTTTTCTAAACTAAAAATTTTTCAAAGATCAATTTATGATATGTAACCATAGAAGAGTGATGTAAATCCAAATTCTACAATTTCTAGACGAAGTATACATTTCAAAAAAGTAAATGTGTGGTGTGCTATAACATATCACGGGGTAATTGGGCCATATTTCTTCGACGGAAATGTAAATCAACAGAAATATTTGGATATGTTACAAAATTATTTTAATGAACAACTTGATGAATTACCCTTAAATTTTATACGGTCAATTCTTACAATTATGGATTTTTATTTTTGGGGACGATTGAAACAAATTGTTTACAGTGAACTATTACAAGGCGATGCAGAACTATTAAAACTAAGAATAATTAATGCGATAGAATCTCTACCACTTGCGGAAATTCGTAATTCTTTCAAAGAATTTAGAACTTGTCTTCAAATGTATGCCGAATGTTCACGTTGATTTGTTCACTTAAAAACTTACATAGTGTGTTATTACTTACATACATTTACATTTAAAATATTTTATTCAATTATTTAGCCATATTTTAATTTGATTTGTCAGCATATTTTTCACTAACATAAGGAACATAAGTTGTAACTTTTATGGTTTCTATGGTTACATATCATAAATTGAACTTGAAAATTTTTCAATTTAGAAAAAAGTCCAATTTTTACATAAAAATGGGAATAATTGGTTAACTTCTATAGTTAAAGTATAAAATTCGTACGATTTAGTGGTTTGAACATATCTGACGCATTATTTTTGCTGAAATATGTTTGAAAAATCAGTAATCAAATTTTTTTTCCTCTTTGTAACTCGATCCGGGGACATACTGTATACACAAATTAGGACCTCAACCGAAACGAAAATAGATATATTGTAGATTTAATTTGGATAATTAAACGTTATCGTTGAATGTGTTAACGTTATTGGGATTTAATTTGAATGCAATGAAACATAACCTAAATTTGACATTAAAAATGTTGTGTTTTTGTGGATACTTATCACTGGCGCCAGTGATTTCAGAATGGTGCAGACTTTTCCGATCCATGCATGCATGATTTCAACTTGCATGCCAGTTAATGTTTACACATGCAATTTAATTTTACTGGCGCGCCAGCTTTTATTGGCGCCACTAAATCCATCCATATCTAAACTCACTATAACACTAGACCTAGAACTAGAAACATTCGAGTTTAGCCCCATGTCTCTAAAGACGGCTAAACCCAAATGATTCTAGTTCTAGGTATAGTGTTAGTTCTACATAGTGACAGTGTTAGTGTAAAACTTGAATTAACACTAGAGCTAGAAAGTTTCGGGTTTAGCTGTGCGTCTAAAGACGCTAGTCTTCGCTAGTTATTTCTAGTTTTAATTGTTATACAGCGCTAGACCAAGAACTAGAATCATTCGGGTTTAGCCGTTTCAAGAGACGTACGGCTAAACCCAAATGTTTCTAATTTTAGGTCTTGTGTTAGTTCTAGTGATAGTGCTAGTGTAAAAGTAGAACTAACGCTAGACCTAGAACTAGAAACATTGGGGTTTAGCCACACGTCTCTCAAGACGGCTAAACCCGAATGATTCTAGTTCTAGGTATAGTGATAGTTCTAATTTTACACTTGCAGTATCACTAGAACTAACATTAGACCTAGAACTATCTACTTCTAGGTTTAGTGTTAATTCTAGTTTTAGTGCAATAAAAATATGCAACATAGTGATATCTTATACTAACTAGCGCTACCTACCACTGTCACTAGAACTAACACAAGACCTAGAACAAGAAACATTGGAATTTATCCGCACGTCATTCAAGACGGCTAAACCCGAATGATTCTAGCTCTAGGTCTTGTATTAGTTCTAGTTTTAATTCTTATTCAGCGTTAGATTGTGATATATTTTTATTGAACGAAAAGTAGAACTAACATTAAACCTAGAACCAGCAACATTCGGATTTAGCTGTGCGTCTCTTAAGACGGAATCTCAGAGTTATCATAAGGACGTCACCTTTTTTAAGCAAAACGTTTTCTTTGCAAAATTACCCAATGCCTGTACTATGAAGCTATGTTGCATTTTATATGGGACAGTGCAAGTGCACAGTAGTTTTGTAACTATGATTACTCCATTCATATATTGCGAGTTATATGAAACTCCCGGTATAAAAAAAAACAATCAAAAAAATCCTCTTTGTCTTCATACACGACAGGATGTTTAATAATAATGTTGTTATTTTAATATTTTGTTAATAAGTATTCGTGTATAAGTGTATTTTATAATTATGCTTTAAAAGTTTTGAAACTTCATATTACTATTTCGATTTTCTTTTTCCAGAGTTATCAAGGATCTTAAAATTTGTGGCGAATTCAATCTAATTCTGGGTAAGTACTCAAAAAGAAATTTCTATTACAATAAAGCTTACAAAAGCTTCTGATCTGCAGAGCTTAAAAGATTTAAACACAAACTATATAAATACGAAAACTTTGCAAACAGATCAAAAGATTATTTGGTAATAATTATTACATTTTGCTTTAAAACAAGTTGTCCTATTTGTTTGGCTCACTATTTTCATTATAATCTTATATTATATACCATTTAACAATTAATTAAAAGTTTAAAACATAAAATTTAAACAATCAGCAAATACATTACAAGTACAAAATGTGTAACAATACCTAAAAAGATTTAAAAAGTATTTGTTATAACTAACATGTTTTAAATAAAAATGATTTAGTTTCAAAACTTTTAAACCATCTAATACACAAGGTGGTAAATACAATAAATCACCCTGTATACTAATATAATTAAATAAAGGTGTTATATTCATCTCAATTCACGTATTTAGTGTACAATGTGCGGTTCTTAAAATGCCTTAAAAATCAATCCTTATTAGTTACAATTAGAATTTCGTGGCGTCGATTGTGTTCGTTTATATTTTTATTATTAATTTTTTGCTTTTTTAAAGTGTATTTACCATATTTTAAGTCGATACCTTTGAGCAAACAGATCTCGTAATAATAATCAGTGACGATTTTTTTTATTTTTTCTTTGTATCATGTCCGGTTCAGTCTTATGAATTGTAATTAATCAATTGGCTTCAATTTTCATTGCTTTATCATCATCAATTTTCTTTGTAAATCGTTTTTTTTTTTAAATTTTTATTACTGCGTATTAGCAGATTCGGCGGCTGCCTCTTTTTCTTGATACAACCTCAACAAATCCATCGCATCTTGCGCCTGACGTTTCTCACTGAGATACCTTCCGGAAGCTTCTTTGAGTTGCTCCAAAAAGATTTTATCCGGAAAGGTGATGTCAACGATTGAATCGGGATCCATATCACTTAATAATTCTAATTCGGGCCCTCCCAATAACGAAACGTGACACAAATTACTTTTTAATTTTCCAACTAATCCTGCTAATTCAGGCCCGGATTTCCCATCGTCTAATTGATCCGTACTAATCCTGCAATGAGGTAATTGTGGGGCCCACTTTTGATCCTCCGATAGCGCCATTAAGTTTGTATGGGGGTCCAATGTAGCGAAATATTCGTCGTCGTCGATTTCCGTACCATCATTTTCTAATACTATCGTTATTTGACCCATCGTACCCAATTTTTCACGAATTTTTAAGGTTAGGTCTTCCAAAGAGTTTGCAACCACACCTTTTCTATGTTCCCGGGCGTAGTCGGTGATTTTAAAGGGTTTACCCGCTGTATCTAAACCGTCGTCCATTTGATTTTTATTATAAAATCGGCTATTTGTTGGGTTTATTTAAATTGGCGTCTTTAATCCGGCAGTGATTATTTTGATGTAGTTATAAAAAAAACTCGACGATTTTCACTACAGTTCCGCAACACAACTAACTTTTGATCGGATGGATTTTCTCTTCATTCAAGGGTCGCGCATGCTTCCAGAAGGTTTATCGATTTTCCGTATGAGATGAGTTTAAAATATGGGTAAAGAGGTAAAGTGGATGTTACTTGTTATAATTAAAATAGTTTTTGTTATAAAGATTTATTTTAAAATCTATTTTTAATTTAAATTTGAGGTTAATTTAGGTTATGTTTGAATTGTTTATAAACGTCAAAAAAATTATACTGCCACCTATTCAATTTGATATGAGTTAATAAATTATTGTTGGAGCTTTTATTTTATTGATTTAAAAGTTTTTTTATTTGTTAATTTTTAATTTATAAATACTGATACAATTCTTTATTATTTAATAAAAATAATTCTAAATTTAAACGTAAAAAAGAACAAATTTTATTGCGCCACCTATTGGGTTATCTTGAAATTAATTATCTAACTTCACACTTATTTTTTGATGTTGAGTTTAAATGTGGGTAAAATAAAGTGGATGTTACTTGTTTCAATTAAAATAGTTTTTGTTATAAAGATTTATTTTAATATCTATTTTTAATTTAAATTTGACGTTAATTTAGGTTATGTTTGATTTGTTTATAAACGTCAAAAAAATTATGTATACTGTCACCTATTCCATTAGATATGAGTTAATAAATTATTGTTGGAGCCTTTATTTTATTGATTTAAAAGTTTTTTTATTTGTTAATAATTTATAAATACTTATACAAATTTTTTATTATTTAATAAAAATAATTCTAAATTTAAACCTAAAAAAGAATAAATTTTATTGCGCCATCTATTAGGTTATCTTGAAATTAATTAAGTTATCTAACTTCACACTTAATTTTGACGTTTTTTTGACAATTAATTTATTGTTATAACAACACTGCTTTAAGGTAAAGTAATTTCTAATAACAATTTATTAATGTTATTATTTGTTATATAATGTAGCTATTATAGAAAAGATGGAGTGGTTTGTAGTTGTTTATTAGCGCATGCGTACAATAATAATAATGTGTTTGTTGGGTGTTTTGCAGGATGTGTCACCGGAGTCCGGATTTGACACTAGGTGTTGTTGTAGCGGTACAGGGAGTGCGTGGAGTTAAAGAAAAAGTTGTTCGTTTTGGGGACCATTCGGGGCTAGGAGGGAGAAGGTGTTACAAGGTAGAAAGGTAAAAAAAACATTTCTAATTTAGTATTTAATTCCGCCCTTAAAACTCGCCCTTTATCTTAAAAAACTATCTTCGAAACTATGGATAGAAGAGATTTTTGTTGACCTTGTCCTTGCATTTACTTACCAATTGAAATCTCCTTCCCCCCAAGTACCCCTTATTTACATTTTTTAATTTAATTAAGATGTATTAGGTTAATTTGATGTTAACGTAAGAAATTCCTTGATTTTTTCTTCTAAAAAGCGGAAATGGAACTCATCGTTTAATTTAAAGTTGGAGAAAAGTTACGATCGTTTTGGGAATTCCTTGTTTTATTACGGGATAAGGTCCCCCTTTTCTCGTTATTTTTCTACGCTTAGTTTTTTTGTGATATTTTCAGGACTATTTGGAACTAATAATGACATAAAGTAAGACAACTTGATTTATTTTGAAATAAAAAGTGTTAAAAAAATGTAATTTACTGAAACCTTGATATAAAATGATCGTTGTTGGACTAAACGTACAAATAGCAATAAAAATTGCATTGCACTAATCAAGCTATTCGACTAAAATCAATACCATACCGAATAGTTTTACAGGTTTTGTTCGAAGTCATTTATACACCTAATTGAATGTACATTTTTCCCCTCAATTTAATTTAATCTCTGGTTAAAAGTCCAAAATGCAATGATTACCATAGAATTTGTATTTAATTTTTTTTAACTCGTGACTAATAGAATCGTTTCAATTTAAATCTCATTCAATTTGACGTAAACATGTTTAAAAAGCGTAATTATAGCTAATAAAAAGAGGCGAGTGCATACTTTTGTATCTACATACTATTTTTAGTACGGATATAATCTTTAGTTTAAAGGTTTGTTTTGATAGAAAATGTGAATCTGATTCATTTTTATCTTGTTATTTAAACGATAATAAGAAGATTATTTGTGCTAGGTTTAATACTTCTTATGAGGATGTGAAAATTATAATCATAATCTTTTTGATGATATAAGATTTTTGTATCATTTTTTTTATGCATTTATACTATTTTTAGAAAAAACATGAATCAAATTATATAAATAATCGCGGAATTTGTTATTTTTGGTACTTTCCAGGAAATATTGTTCTGATAAATCAAATATAATTAACGTTAAATTACATCTGTTCAGAGTTTTTTTTATAAATACTTTTTTATATGTTGTTTTTATATATCGTTTCTAAGAAATTGTTAAAAATTAAAATCAAGGTTTTCTTAAATAATATCTTGAGATTATTCTTGATATTTTACAAGGAATTTTGTTAAAAATTACCGCTATTTAGTAATTTTTTGTTAAATGTTGTGTAACCAAAACAAATTTGTCCGGTTTTAGTTATATTAAAAACGACCGCATAAACTTTAGTTACCCAACAAAATGTAATTAAATTTACGTGTTTGTTCCTGTTAGATTTGTCACCGTTTAATGTATATTTAATAATTTTGTTACAAATTTCGTTCATTTACTTTTCATTCAAGTTTCTTTACCAATTAATTTTATTTAATAAACATGGAGGTTTAAAAAAACAGATATATTGGTTTAACCCTTTGTGCCCCTACGGTACTTTAAAGTACCGGTAGTTTTAAACAGTCCTTTTAAACTGTATAGTCATCTATTCGGCGCATTTAGAGCTGTCGATACTTTCTACTATACAAGAAAGAACCTGTGTCAAAAATAACGCAATCCGTACTGTAGGGTTTTAGATATATTTAAACTTATTCATCCAGATCAATCCAGGTTTGAGGTTAGAAGTTTAGTGAAAAGTCTTGTTGCTGAATTTTGTTGTTCAAAAAGGTATCTCTTTGATAAATGGTTATTAGGTGTGATTTGTAAGCAGCTTCGTGTATTATTTACGTATTGCAATTACAATGTTCAAACATTTCTTATTTTTATTCCGAAAAAGTTACATTTTGTGACCTGTTACATAACAGGTGCAATATTGAGATTGATGTAAAAATAAGCCAAACGAATACAGATACATTTTGGTACTTGAACAAAGCTTGGACTGATGAGAAGTTTTGGTTGAGGCTGAAAAAGTTTGTGTTGAATTAGAAAATCACCCGTTGGATAATTCTGAACAGACATAGATCTAGGAGATTGTTGGAAAATTGTTATGGAATCATCACCGATTACTCATTAAAGCATCTACTTTTCAATGATCAATTCCGTTTTGAAATATCACTCTTACTTTTTCTGATTTTAATTAGTAATCTTAACCGTATTTTAGAGTAACTTTAAAAATTGTTGAAAAATCGATTTCTTGGAAAATTATTATGGAATCATCACCAATTATTAATTAAAGCATCTACTTTTCGGTGATCAAGTCCGTTTTGAAATATCACTCTTAGTTCTTGAGATATAAGATACTGGAGTTAATTAGTAATCTTAACCGTATTTTGAGTAACTTTAAAAATTGCTGAAAAATCGATTTCTTGGAAAATACTTCTGGAATTATCACCAATTACTAATTAAAGCATCTACTTTCCAGTGATCATTTTGAAATATCACTCTTAGTTCTTGAGATATAAATTACTAGAGTTAATTAGAAATCTTAACCGTATTTGAGTAACTTTAAAAATTTCCGAAAAATCTATTTCTTTTGAAATAGTTATGAAATTATCACCAATTACTAATTAAAGCATCTACATTCCAATGATCAAGTCCGTTTTGAAATATCACTTTTAGTTCTTGAGATATAAATTACTGGAGTTAATTAGAAATCTTAACCGTATTTTGAGTAACTTTAAAATTACCTGAAAAATCGATTTCTTGAAAAATTGTTATGGAATCTTCACCAATTATTAATTAAAGCATCTACTTTCCAGTGATCAAGTCCATTTTAAAGTATCACTCTTAGTTCTTCAGATATATATTACAGGAGTTAATTAGACATCTTAACCGTGCTTTTGAGTAACTTTAAAAATTCCGGAAAAATCTATTTTTTGGAAAATTATTATGGAATCATCACCAATTATTAATTAAAGCATCTACTTTCCAGTGATCAATCCATTTTGAAGTATCACTCTTAGTTCTTGAGATATAAATTACTGGTGTTAATTGGAAATCTTAACAGTATTTTGAGTAACTTTAAAAATTCCTGAAAAATCGATTCCTTGGGAAAGTGTTATGAAATTGTCACCAATTACTAATTATAGTATCTACTTTCCTATGATCATGTCCATTTTGAAATATCACTCTTAGTTCTTGAGATATAAATTACTATAGTTAATTAGAAATCTTAACCGTATTTGAGTAACTTAAAAAATTCCTGAAAAATCGATTTCTTGGAAAATTGTTATGGAATTATCACCAATTACTAATTAAACATCTACTTTCCAGTGATCAAGTCCGTTTTGAAATATCATTCTTAGTTCTTGAGATATAAATTACTGGAGTTAATTAGAAATCTTAACCGTATTTTGAGTAACTTTAAAATTACCTGAAAAATCGATTTCTTGGAAAATTGTTATGGAATCTTCATAAATTATTAATTAAAGCATCTACTTTGCAGTGATCAAGTTCATTTTAAAGTATCACTCTTAGTTCTTCAGATATATATTACAGGAGTTAATTAGACATCTTAACTGTGCTTTTGAATAACTTTAAAAATTCCGGAAAAATCTATTTTTTGGAAAATTATTATGGAATCTTCACCAATTATTAATTAAAGCATCTACTTTCCAGTGATCAAGACCGTTTTGAAATATCACTCTTAGTTCTTGAGATATAAATTACTAGAGTTAATTAGAAATCTTAACCGTATTTTGAGTAACTTTAAAATTACCTGAAAAATCGATTTCTTGGAAAATTATTATGAAAACACCACCAATTATTAATTAAAGCATCTACTTTCCAGTGAGCAAGTCCATTTTGAAATATCACTCTTCGTTCTTGAGATATAAATTACTGGAAGTAATTAGTAATCTTAACCGTGCTTTGAGTAATTTAAAAATTCTTGAATAATCGATTTCTTGGAAAATTGTTATGGAATTGGCACCAATTACTAATTAAAGCATCTACTTTCCAGTGATCAAGTCCGTTTTGAAATATCACTCTTAGTTCTTGAGATATAAATTACTGGAGTTAATTAGAAATCTTAACAGTATTTTGAGTAACTTTAAAAATTCCTGAAAAAACGATTTCTTGGGAAATAATTCTGGAATTATCACCAATTACTAATTAAAGCATCTACTTTCCAATGATCAAGTTCGTTTTGAAATATCACTCTTAGTTCTTGAGATATAAATTGCTGGAGTTAATTAGAAAGTTGGAAAGTGACACTGAAGTAGTAAAACCACGTGGCAATGGGCCCAAAAAGAAGAACAATCGATAGAAAATGGAGAAAATGGGAAAAACAGACTGAAATTCCAGGATGCAATTATCAACAGGAAATAATTGGTGATACTTTTGCAACTTGCAATAATCCTACAGATTATTTTTTAACACTGACGGGTAACCGTGCGAAAGATATTACCTTTCAAAGTAATTTGTACGCCACCCAAAGGAATGAAACGCTAAACTTGAAAGAAGAAGAGTTGCTGTGTTTCCTTGGCATAAATTTCTTAATGAGTTATCACGGTTTGCAAGCTATAAACTCTTCTGAAGTAATGTTGAAGACTTGGATGCACCACTTGTCATACGAACAATGACCCGTAACATGGTAATAGCATTATTCCTAAGAACAATACGGATAATCTATACAAGATCCCTCCGTATTTTGAAACTACTATACTACCAACTAGGCTGTTGGCTGTGGATGAATCCATGATAATCTTCAAAGGGAGGTCAAGTATGAAACAATTCAATCCCATGAAGCCCATAAAAAGGGGTTGTAACCTCTGGTGTTTAGCAGATAAGAAAGGGTACATAAAGACATTTGATGTGTATCAGAGAAAATCTCCTGAAACTGAAGAAAAATTTCAAGATTATGGATTAGGTGAAAGGATTATCCTTCAACTTATTGAAGATGAATGGAATA